GCAAGTTGTAATACCATCCACTTGAAGACAACTAAGGATGAGTTGGTGACAACCAAGCACGAGGTGGCGACAACTAAGCGCAAGTTGTAAAGTGGAAGGGAAAGGAGGTTTAAGTTTTCTATAAATAGAGAGGTAGTCTCATTTGTAAATGGTATGGAGTAGAGGTTAGAGAGTGTAGAGAATATGTAGAGTTGAGTGAATTTATTCCTTAGAGAGATTGTAAAGTTTTCCCTTTCATATATACAAAGAAAGTTTCCCGACCTTACTTGTTTTTCATATATCCTTTACTTCAAAATTCTCCTCTCAACGTGGGTATAATTTAGCCTCCTTGGTTAAATTATTTGTGAGCGTGAAAAGGCTGACTTAACGTTTTCTCGTGAGGTGCGGGAATTGTCAAGCGTTAAGGCCGCACGGTTCTAGTTGTTCGGGTGTAACGAAACTAGGTCCGTGACATATGGCTGCCTTTGTAAAAAGCCAGTTTATACAACTTAGAAGGTGCCTTTTTGAAAGGGTAGCCATACCTGCCTTGAAAAATAGGAATGGGGGTGGTCCAGTTCGGTTCGATTCTAATGAGAATCAAGCCGGACCTAAAATTTTCGGGTATTTAGTAGGTAGAAATGTTGGGTCCAAATTTAATTATGAAATTGTTTGCGTTCAGTTCCATTCGATTCAATTCAGTTCGGTTTGATTCTATTTGGTTCCCAGGTTCCGTATAATAATTAATTTTTTTAATATTTATAAAACTACATTAATTCAACTAATGATGTGTTCAACTTTAGCTCTTACAATATAACATATTCTAATCTTATGTGTCTTTTGCGTATCTCTTTACTAAGTTTTTCATAGATTTGATTGTTAAAATCACAAAAAGAGAAAGATAGTGAGCTCACAATAATTAAGAGAGGCGTCATCGAGCTTCAATTCAATTTCTTCAAAACGATAGAAACGACACTACTATAAAATAACTGATTTGAATAAAACTTAGGTTAATTGGATTAAGTTGGGTTTGGATTGAAATTTAGAAATAGAAAAATCATATTTTTTTTATTTGAGCTAAATTAACTAGTTAGTAAATTTATTTAGAAAAAATAATTTGGCTTATTTAAAATAAATAAATTAAAAAAATTAGGGAGGTTTGGCTTTTCGGTTCTTGATGTAGAACTGAGAATCGAACCCAGTCCGTAAATTCTCGATTCAAATACATGTTCGAGTATTCAACTTAAGAAGAACCACTCAGTTTAGTTCGATTTGGTTCGAGTCCAATTTGGTTGGTTCAGTTTGAAAGTTTTGTCCAACCCCATTGAAAATGCAGTTGCCTATGAAAAAAAAAAAAAAAAAAAGACAAAAAGACAAAAAGAAAATTTTTAGGGAAAAATGCTAGCCAGCTGGGCTCAAACCTTTTCGAGCTTGAGCCGAGCCTCATTTTTTCGGAAGCTCAGCTTGACACCAAAAAAGCTAGATTCATTTTTACCAAGCTGCTCTCGAGCTGTGAACTTTGGCTTTGCTCGACTCTTTTACATTTCTAAACCTGTTTGAGCCTCCTTTTTTTGTCCATAATGTATTATAATGTAGTATTTTGATGAATAATGTATGGTTAAATATAAAGAATTTTTTTTTAAATTTACATGCAATATTATTTTATCGAAGAATGCGTAATTGAAAATAAAATAGAGAAAAATATATTTTGAAAATAATAAAGATCAAACAAGGGCTAAATCTAATTAGCCTGTTTGGATTTGTATTTACTTTGAATTAGTAGTATTAAAAAATATTACTGTTATAGTATTTTATCATGTGTTTATTTATTTATTATTTTCAGTTCGACTTCAATTGAACCTTTTAATCCTTGATTCTTGATTTTTTTTTTCTGGCAGATGTCCAAGTCGATTTTCTAAACATTGGTATTCATTCAGATAAGTTGATTTTTTATATCATTTTGTTATTAAGAATCAATCTAATCATAGGTCTACACGGCACTAGGATCTTGGAATCATAATTTACAGTGATATAGTTGTTTAAATGGAAGGATTTATCTTCTTGAACAGGGCTACGTAGGCGCTATCCATCCAGGGGACGATGTGGGGGCAGAGACTCGGCTAATAGGGGGGCGATGTGACCTAATTGGAAAATGTAATGAATTGTTTCTACATTTTTCTAACTCAATTATAAAGCAAATGGTTCGAAGTTTTAATACATTTAAACTAGTAATTTAACTGCCCCAAATGCAATTACGTCAACTATTTTGGGGTTTGAGCTATTCTCTCTATATAATATATAATGTGATAAGGATTCTGTAGGGACAAAATATCTAAGTGACATAACTAATATTAAATATTTATATTAGATAATTCATCCCCAGCTACTAATCCTGATTTGGCAATATTAGCCTGTCTGCACAAGTCAATGCTTATGATAAATTAAAATATGAAAAAGAAAAAGTAATTTGCAATGGGGCGCTGCTACTTGGACACGCCTGATTAAACATGAGGCGATGTGTGGCGCCCCTTGTTTTTTTTTTTCTACCTCCCGTGTCAGGAGTGGCGCCCCTTAAAAAAGGTTGAACCCCAACCTTAAGGGTCCCCCACCGCCCCTACCCTGAAGTATCGTGAGGGAAGTAAATAACAGGTTATGCCTCCAAGGGTACAGGGTGGAAGGCTGCTTGTACACTTGCACTTACCCAAGAGCCAAATCCATATTTCAGAATTCGAACCCTTGACGCGGCAGCCTCAAGTAAAGCTGGATTTCTCCACCCTACTCTTTTACCACTTAGAGATGTGCCATAGGGGCGTCAGGAGTGGCGCCCCTTGTTTGGACAGGGAGTTGTTCAAAAAGAAAAACTCTTTACAATTAAAATAAGCATTTAAGTAATGAAATGATTACTTCATTAGAGTAAATTATATACAATAAGACAAACTTTTAAATTAATTAAATACAATTTGGGTAAAGTGGAGCAGATAGGCCTACAACTCAACTAAATAATTAGTCATTAAGAACTATAGTTGTTACCAAAAAACGAGTAGTTTAGAGATGAACATGGTAAGAAAAAAGTTGAAGATCAGGTTGCTACATAGTTTATAGGTTGGGAATCAGCATTAGATTGTTCCCAATAACTAAAGACAATTGTGGTATGAGCGAAGCACTTAGGCACAACTAAACGATCAGGTACTCGCATTAAGGACTATCATTGCCACAAAACAAACGGGTTGGTGACAACTCTAGCAAAAGAGACATAGATTGGGGAACAAGTTGCAAGACAGCGAATAGGCTGGGGACAAGTGCCAGATTCTTGCAGTAATTAAGGGCTCGTTGATAGTTCTTTTAAGTGTTTATAAGCTATCACTCCTATGAAATATATGAATAATAAGAAGTAGTAAATTGTGGGTCTTACAGTGAAGCGCTTGGACTCAACTAAGTGATTAGGTATTCGCATTAATGATTTCCACTAAAAAAAACTAAATGATTAGCGATCAAGTTGAGACATAGTTAGTAGGTTGGGGGACGGTGCTAAATTTTTCCCATTAATTAAATAAAACTGGGGTACGAGTGAAGCACCTAGGCTCATATATGATTAGGTAATCGCTTTAAGGACTATCAATGCCACAAAATCAATAGGTTGGTGACTACTCCAGCAAAAATAAAAAAATAAAAAAAGATTGGGGATCAAGTGGCAATACAGTTCATATCTTGGGGACCAATGAATACAAATTGGTAGGTGTGAAGCAGCTAGGCCTCAACTATATAATGAGGTGAAGAATTGAGTATTTGTATCTTGTAAGTTCATATATCTGCATTGCTAAAGAGATGGGGCTAACTGGTAAGTTGGTTGCTCAAATAGAGTTCAAGCATGGAGGAGATGTATTTCATGACCTCTTTAAACACAAACCGCACCACATATCCCACAAAATACCTAAGTTAGTACAAGGTTGTGAGCTCCATGAAGGGGAATATGGAAAGGTTGGCTCTAAAATTTGCTGGAGGTACACCCACGGTATGTATATATGTCATATATGTCTACGTCCATGATTCGAGATTTTTACCATTCATATTTTTTTATTCTTCAAGTCATAACAAATTTGTGATTGACTACATGAATCCGTTTTTATCGTCCTAGACGATTCATAGTTGATAGATCTAGTAAGAGATTTATACAACATGTCATGTTGGGTTTGGTCAACTCCCCTCTCTTTTAACTTGTTTCACGAAAAACAAAGCATATTAATTGACTTTATAAAATTTTCCGACTCTGATATGTTTGTAGCTAAATTTATCGAGAGATCTAAAGCAACTAGATTTAACAATTACGAGATAAATTTGTCTGAGACGATCTCTCTCCCTTTTGATTTGATCTATTGTGATCATGCTCTTAGAATGAACATTTTATACGTCAACCTTTAACAATAGTTAGCTCTATCAATTATGAGTTTGCAATTGATGAAATTTATTTGTGGCTATAACAGATGGAAAGGAAAGGAGAGCTAAACAGGTGATTGAAGCCATAGAGGAGGAAAATAAATTAATCAAATACAAGATGCTTGAAGGTGATTTGATGGAAGAGTACAAGGACTTCATTATAACTCTCCATATTGAAACCAAACGTAACAGAGACATGGTCACATGGACTTTGGAGTATGAGAAGCGGAATGAAGATGTGAAACATCCAATCTCTTTGCTGGCTTACTTCATTGAAGTCACAAAAGATATCGAGACCAACCATTGATATCTAAGCTTTTTATCGTGTATTCCAATAAAATGTGCACATGTGTGAATATGTGTGCAGTGTGTAATAAGGTTGGTTTGTGATATATTTAATTCTGTATTGATCTATCGGTAAGAAGATATTGGACCATGTACGTCTTCTTCAATATTTCTAGCCTACATGCAGAAGTATGTATTTTAATTTTGGGTTGTTAAGTTATGTTTTTAAGATGATATATGAATGATCCCGTTGATAAATAGCTCATGTTTTGTATATCTGAGTTTTAACAGTGTATATGGGCGGACTCACATGGGGTCATGGGGCCCCACAAAAATTCCTTTTTTTTTCTTTTAAATTCAAAAATTATGTAGTAGTCCTTTACCTCTGACTGCACATGTTTATAGATTATAGTTTACTCTATGCTTCAATAAATAAAAAACCTCCTCCAATCTCAAATAAACCCTTCTCCAATCTCCAATATCAATCTTTATTAGGTATAGAATTTTTATGTTTGAAATTAAAGGTTTTAATATATATGTTTGATTTTCTTTCATTTTTCATCTGAATTTGTTTATTATCATTGGGATTTGTGTTGCAATTGGATTTGAGGCTTGTGTGTTAAGTGAGAGTAGGTAAAGTATGTAATTTGTAGTTTATATTGCACCGTTGTAAATCGTTTTTGGGGCATGACAAGGCCAGAAGAAGTACGAATTACTGAAACTTATCGTCCTTGGAGCATTGAGAGTCCTTAAGGTGATGTAATGCGCCTGATTCCGATCTAGTGCTATTCTAGGCGAGGAAATTCTAACTTTCATCTTTTAGAGAAAAAATCATGGATTAAAAAAAAAAAAAACTTTTAACTTATTTTCATTAATTTTATCTTGTAAAAAAAAAAAAAACTTTTGACTTCACAATACAAAAAGTTTGACTTTTCCCCTGAATGTGAAGTTGATTTTTTATTTTATTTCTGGAAATAATCCAGTTTGAAACGTTGAAAACTAAATATATATACCTTGTGTCTCTACCGTTTAAAATTTATATAAGGTCCACCAAATACAATGATGATGCGGAAAATGTAAGAAGAATTCTACATGCACGCATCACATGGTTAACATATACACCGACATCATGCTTCCTTTTTCACAAATATTCTTCGATTATTGGACATGTGCTTATTTTAAAACAAAATTATATATCTATACTATATTCTTCGTTCCATTTATATATATTGACTTTTTTTTTTTTTTGAGCCCAAATTATAATTTTCTTTTTTTTAGGAAAAATGTTTTTGTTTTGTTCGTTTACTAATATACACTCATTTAATTTGTTTAATTATAATCAAATTTTCCCAATCTTGAAAGTTGAAATTGTACCGAATTTAATTTGAATATATACACACAGTTCTCGAAGTGAGTAAAGTTTAAATGGCTTATAGTATTTCCTACTTCTTCTTGAAAACATGGACAAAAATTGTTGATAATTAAATAAAGGTAAACTAGAAAATTCTTTGCAAAAATTACTTTTTCAATAACATTTAATAAAATTTCTTATTTTATGTGAAAAATGAAATCGGTCTATATAAATTAGACGAAAGGAGTATGATATAATAATCTGGATATGGATACTTTTATGAGAATTTTATTCTGAAGACTAGTAATGTAATAGGAAAAATCTATATATGCCTTAATATAAAATACTAATTCACATCTTACCGTGTCATGGAAATATTAATTAAAAGTAATGCCATTCATAGTGAAAACTACGGATAGTCATTCTACGTGGTAAACACATGACAATTTTTTATTTAATATATTAATATGGTAGTTTTTTTATTACTTTATGCATCAAATAACAAAATGTCATGACAACTGTCATGTGTATGCTACATATGATGATTGTCATTATTTTTCACTATGAATAACATAATTCTAATTAAAAACACTAGATAGAGTGTTAAATATGTTTAAAAATACTAGTTCCAAAATTAAAACCATAAGTTGTTAACTGATATTTTTTAGTCACCCAAATTTCATTTCTTTCCATTAAATGCCCTTCCATAAACAGAGTTTAATAATTCAATAAAAGGGATAAGGATTGTGGATAATCACCTAAATATAGTTAAAAAAAAAAAAGTAACATTATATTTGTGTGATACTCGCAAGTATACATGATCGTTGACAAGTAATAAAATTGACGATTTAAGAGTTATCGTCTTACAATGAATAAATTTAATTCAAGTTTACTAATTTCGTATGAAAATCGAATTATAAAGAACAAAAAGTGGATTTTTGATTTTATTTATACTAAACTAATCTACGAAATATGAAAAAGTTGGGGTTTTTGTTAAATTATGGAAGATTGTATTGAATTTCAACTTTGAGTCTTTGCCTATTGCTATTTATTTCAATTCTTGATATATAATCTAGCTTCGTTTATGTATTCTTGACAATCAATAAAACTAATCTATTTAATTTTCATTTTTAAGACGAATTAATTCTATTATAACCACGATCGGAATATATTCCTAGCCAGAATTCGAATGATTAGAGCACATTAAAGTTGAGATTATCTATATGATTTCACACATGATAAATGTTATTCATAACATCTATTACACATGTTAATTTTATCGCGTTCCAAATTTATTGCGAGTCTCCCAACACTACAACAAGCAACTAATTATCTAATTGATAACCAATCAAACTAAATTATACTAAATTATTTGTCTTGAATTATATATAGATAAACAATAGGATTCATCTCATCCAATATGTGAAACAAATTAGTCTAACATATTGTTGAAATCAAACAAATAAAGTTTAAGACCCGTAATTATTTCCAATTATAAACTAGGAATCCATGCCTTCCTCGGGTTTGCCGTAATGTTTGACTACAATTTCTCTTAAAGCTGCTGTCCAGCTGCCGTTTGTTGTATATATAATTCCAGCCGGCAGTCACCTTTTTCTTTTGCCAATTTCTCCCTCACAATGTTGGCGGGTGCTGTGCCCGTATGCAGTGGCAGAACCACGTTGAGATGAGTGCGGACATATGCCCCCACTGAAATTTTAGGGTCAAATTTTTTTTTCATTTTTTTTAAAGCAATAGAGGAGATGGAATAAAAATATATTTTAATTTACATGAGTTTTATTTTTAGATCCAAACCCATAATTTTGTTTTATATTTTTATCATCATTAAATTCATGATCAAAATACAATGTTCAACATGGGTTCAATTATGCCCACACTGAACAAATTTTTTGGCTCCGCCCCTACCTATATGTATATATAAATTAGCCTAAAGTAGCTTGCAGCCGCAGTGTGGGAGTTCGATTCCTGAGACATAGAATTGAACTTCTTGTAGGCGCAGTGTACAGGCAACTCTTGTTCCCCGACCTGTTGAAATACATCCCGCAATTTACCTTCCTCACAAAGTTCTAAGGATGGACGGTAGAAACCCTCAAAATTGAAATTCAACCATAAATTAGCCTAAAGCAGCAGCCTTTTTCTTTTGCCAATCTCTCCTCAAAGCTGCTGCTTTTGTTGACTAATTTTTTGCAATTTCCCCTCAATTCCAGCTGACTTTTCGTCTATATATATGATAAAACGCAGTAGCCGGCTTCTCTCTTCCTTTTCCTCCCTGTTTCTGTCTCTTATGCTGTCTCAATATACTAAAGGCAGCCGTGTATATATGTATAACCTTCAGCCGCCTAACTGTGTTTTTCTCCAATTCAGCAGCCGAGTTCTCTCCCTTTTTTCTCTCCCTGTCTTTATGTGATGTATCTATCTCTATAAATTCAGCCCCGTTTGACTCCCATTTATTGAAGATAAAAATGGGAGAAATAGTTTTTTTTGAAAAATGAGTGGTTGAAATTTTTTTTTTCAATTCACGTGTAATACTATTTTATAAAATATTGTGTGATTGAAAATAGAAGAGAAAAGGAAAAATTTCATAAGTAAGAGATTAAGTATGATATATTTCAAGATTAAGAAAATAAGTTTCAAATTTCAAAAATCAGATTTTTATTAAAAATTATTTATTATTAAATCAATTAATTAATTAAATATATTTAAGTCACATATCTATATAATTTGATCACAAATAAAAAATTTTATGCCACAAATTATTTTACGATCACAATTCAAAAAATTTTTAGATCACAATTTGTTCATCGGTCACAAATAAAAAATAACAATTAGTCACAGATTAGTTTTTAGTCACAATTTATCAAATTTTTAGTCACAACTTATTTTTCAATGACAAATCAAAAAATTTATAGGTCACATATTATTTTTCGATCACGAATAAAAAAATTTGTAGGTCACAGATCACAAATATTATATGTTACAACTTATTAGACAGTCACAAATTATTAATTTTTTAGGTCATATATTATTCCTTGGTTACAATTTATCTTTTTCATTGATCACATATTGTTTATTGGTCATAGATTAACCAAGTTAACGGTCACAATTAACCAAATAATCTGTGACCAACACTTGTAACTACAACCACGACCACCATTGCCAAATCCACCTCGACAGGCATCACCTCCGCTTACACCACCAACAAAAACTATCACAAACCTCCAACAACACCTAGCACAAAGGTAACTATCACCATGGCACTCGATTGGAGAAAAATCTCATCATCACTTCACCCTGCCCTCCACCCACCCTGCACCACCACCTCAAAACCATAACTTCCCATTTCCCAATCCCGCCACTGCACAACACCCCCACCACACCTCCCGTTTCCCAACACCGCCACCGCACAACACCACCACCAAGCATAGCACCATAAAAAATCACAACCATTATCTCAATCACATCACATTCACCAAAAATTCCCTAAATTCGATGCTGCTGCCACTGCCACTTCATCACTACCACCGTCTTGTGAACAATAACCACCACGACCTCCTCAAATTCACGACAGACAGTAGTCCAACAGCAACGTCGCCGTAGCACTAATGGGCTGAACCGATAGAGATCTCTGCGCTCAGTGGAAATCGACGTCGTCGTAGCAACTTTGCGCTCGTTGCTGCACTAGTTGAGCCACTAGCGGCTTGTTCGGCGACAGGGCGCTTGCGGTGTCGTCGGCCGCCAAAGTCTGAAAATGAGAGAGGAAGAGAGAGGGGCGACAGGCGAATGTAGAGAGGGGGGGGGGGAATGAAAATAAATTAGGGTTGAAATAAATTTGTATTATAATATTTAATATTAAAAATATTTGATTTTTGAACAATAAAACCTTGCCTATGACTTTAGAATATTGATTTTGAAAAGTAGGTAGGGATGTAATTTTCACTTTAATCAAATTGATGGGACTTTATTTTGTGGGCTTTTGGTGGGCTGGAAATATAAAAGGGTTGCTTTGGCTGAGCCCCAGTTTGGCCCCATTAAATTTCATTCCATTTTTCTCTCGGGAAAATTTCATAATCCAGGTGTAGTATTTACACCAATTCAAAAATCAAGTAGATAGTTTGAAAATTCAAAATTCAAGTATATATTTAATTAATTAAAAATATTTATTAAAAAAAAATAATAAAGTCATAGTTATATGATTAATGGTCACACATTTATAATTATATGTCATTGATTTATCTACCGATCATATATCATTAAATTAATTGGTTATAGATTATTTCGTAATCACAAATAAAAAATTTTGTAGGTCACAGATTATTTCGAAATCACGAATCATTCAAATTATAGGTCACAGTTTATCTATGAGTTACATATTTTCAAATTTATTAATCACAAATTTTTTTTAGTCACGGATTATGGAATTTTAAAGTCACAAATTAATAATTAGTCCAAATAGTTGGTCACATGCACCAAACGCTCCCACCACCGGTCCCAATCCAGTACCAATCTTGGTTATAAATCACCACCACACAACCGTTGCTTGCACTACGCCACCACCGCTTCAGCCCAAAATTGGCACTACAACCACCACCGCTACCCATTGCCAAAGCTAGCACGACAACATCAACACTACCGTACCACCACCACCACCACCATCGTTGACTGCCTCCACCATTGTCAACATCTTGCCTGTACCACCAACAAAATCCAACGTTTCCAGCACCCTACCTACACAACTAACAAAAACCACAACACCACAAAAAAAAAAAAAAAAAAAATCCCAAACTACCGCCAAATTCAACCACTGACACAGTCACATCCACCACACAATACACTATCCAAACCCCAGCCAAACCTCTAGATCTACCACCACAGTCGCCACCAATAAATCGCCATCATCACGATCATGCAAAACACCATCGAAACCCACAAAATTGCCACCAACCCAAACTACTTTCGCTTCACGCGGTTTGCTATAGTGTTCTGGCGATTTCATTTCACCACCACAACTTGCGATTTCATTTTACCACCAGACTAGTGGATCTGCTTCGTGATTTCATTTTACTACCTTAACTCGTGGTGATTCATGAAGGAAAAAGTGTGATAGCGTGGTGCTTCTTCATTACAGTAGCAACAACGAAGGATGCTCCAACGACTACATGCTTCAAAGGCGGCGAAGTCTGACAGAGAGAAAACATGAGATGGAGTCAAGGAGATGAAGAGAGGGTGTCAGTAGCGAGAGGGAGATGGAGAGTGAGATTGAAATGAAGAGGGAGATGAAATGATTAGGGTTTTTAATTGAATTGGGTGGGTTAATTATATATAATACCTGATTTTTACATAGATAAATTTCACCCCTGAATTTTGAATTTGATAGTACCTGATTTTCTGTAATTTCCTTTAAAATAAATCCAAGTCTTCATTAATTCCTTTCATTTTATCAATTGGTCCAACGCCTAAATAAGGTATTATATCTCCAAGTCTTCAACTTTCAAAGAGCGAAATTTGATCTCCAACTTCCATCCAATGGCCAATTTAATCCCCGTACTTAGGATTTTAACATTTTCCGCCAATTTTGCTTCTTTCCTTCAATTCCTTTTTCATTCATAAAGTTGTCTATTAAGCATAAAATACAAAAATTTAGGATATCTTTTATCAAAAAAACCATCAAATATCGCTATTTTAGACATTGAATATAAGTGTATAAAATACACTTATCACATTACTATGTCAGAAAACATACTCTGAATCATCATAATCTCCCTACATCAATCAATATAGATCTCCTTTGTGAAATATTTGAATTTTGCATTCTTGCTATGATATAATAGCGTCTTGATTTTAAAATGATATTCAACGTATTTCTTGATGGTGTATGTGTTTGCGTATGCAATCCAAAATCCATTTGATGATTACATTTCGATAATTTCTTGGTGTGTGATTTTTAAGAGAGGAGAGACAATCTTGGATGGATATTTGGGTAGGACTCCATTTTAAGAACTTTGTCATGTTAAAGGCGTGCTTGTTGGAGTAAATTTAGCTTATTAAATGAATAACCAATACGATTTGATTAAGTTTTCACATATCCATTTTACTATAAAAAGCAGTATTTATGGTTAAACAAAAGTTGAAAAGTATAATCTAAATGTTTATGAAAAAATTGGTGTGTGGCATAATCCATTTTCTTTGAAACTGAGTTGGTAGGCCCAGTGTATAATTTTTACACGGTTTATACATATAGCACGATCCAACAAAATTATTACATCCTATATTTATTTAGTTATTTATCGACAATGAAACGAAAGATTGATAGGACTGTTTTATTCAGCATTCGTTTTTTTCAGGCAGGATGATCAGCTGGAAACTAATAAAATAGACGAGGGGGAACCGTATGAGAGAGATTATAGGGTAGAAAACACTTTTACAGCACATCCCTCTGTTCAATTCTAATAATGGTGTATTCAAACAATGTTTACCTCAAGATATTTATCGGCTAAAAAAACTACTTCTCGATAGGTGCCGAAACTATTCATTTCCAGAAAGCCAATATCGGTCTGTTAAATCCAGATTTGCTACCAGATAATCTGGAAGTTAAGTTCTCTACTTTGCGGAATCCAATCTGCATTAACATTAAAGATGAAAATCAACAGTTCTCTCGAGAAGATAGCACTCGTGAGATTTTGAAAAGCTCCCTCCATCAGCTAATTCTGAACATTAATGTACAATATTACATTGTTTCAGCCAAATTTACCTTGTCTAGAAGTATATCCTGAAAATCTTGAGGTGGTATCTGAATTGTTTTATAATTAGCTGCTGCTGTCTGCACAATATGAAAAGACCAGTTGTCTTTAACAGTAAAGCTTTAAAGAACAAAATATAAGTTGGTTCAAACTACTTCTAAAAGAGTTGCAATAAATAAGCACGACACTGTAGCCCTCACTCTGATTAATAGTATAAATATTCACCATATATCTTCCAAATGATCATTTTTATGTGATTTAAGACCTGTATTCAGAAAAGCAATACCTCAGACACAAGCCGATTATTTTGATACGAGCTCCATGGTTGGGGTTCCAAAACGAAAACACCGCCCTGGCCAAAGTATGCATAGTTGAGATAAGTCATGAAAAAGCATATGAATAAGAAATCAATAAACTCTACCGGTTGAAGAAGCTTCCAGACTTTCCAAAACAAAGTGATTAATCCTTCATCACCCCAGTTCAAATGTATCCATTTTGTCACGCTTAAACTGGAAAATGAGAACAAATTACCAAAAACAAATAGCAGAAACTAAAGCAAACTTTCCACAAAATCATGACATCATCAAAACACGAGAACTTTCTCTAATCGATGATGAATTAAATTGTGAAACAAACTTTTCTTGGATGATGCACACAAAGAAAAGCGTGGAAGAAAGGAGGGAAATAAAATCATTTCACTACCTATCTTTCATTCTTTCTACCCCTTTTTCTGTATAAGAAATAGACTTTTCTACAAATGGGGCTGAAATTACTAATATAAATTTGAGGATCAAATCACAAGATCCAGAATTTTTTCCAATTGAGGAGCAGAATAATTAGACACAGAACCAAAAACATTAAATAATTACATTAAATAATTAGACACAACCAAAAACAAAAGTTCTTACCAAAGAATTGTATCGTAGTTATCTTCCGGTGGCCTCCAATTCTGAACAAAATTTCCTTTCTGAAAAGAGACTATGTCAAAGAGATCTTCTCCCTGCAAACAAGGAGTATCAATTGACTTCTCCAGTGTCATTTCAGTTGGTGATTTAGTTGTCTGGTTCTGTAACCCATTAACATCTGCTGATTTGGGTGTCATGGAAGGTAATTTAATAGCATTCGTCTTCACAACTTTCCTAAGAGTCCAACGTGCATCTTCAATTCTATCTGGAATATGATGAACCATGATTAAAACAATTCATTCCATGTTAGAAAACTGTGGGCAACGACATTCTCAAAGATGTAATAAATATCAACATAGATCAATTCGTATAAACGAATTAGGGATAGACCAATAATCCACCCTTGTTAACATGCGAGAGTTTCACCTAGGAAAAAGAATCATCATGGAAACTCACCTAATTTCAGCTAATGGAATATCAATTGTGTAAATATGTACCTAATTACTTTCTCCTCTTCCCCATATACCCACAAAAAGTCCATATTAAGCCCCTGTTTGAACCCCATTTTTGAGAGAAAATGTATTTTGAAATAGTGATTTTTTTGGAGAATGTGGTGTCAAAAAATAAAGAAAAGTTTTTGGTCTACATGTAAAATTATTTTATGGAAGAATGTGTAGTTAAAAAATGAGTTCTGAAAAAATGAGTTTTTGAAATAATGGAGGCCAAACATAGACTAGTTTAATTGGATAAGGAACCTTAATTGTCCACGTAACAATATCACTTCTCTAGAGGGAAAGAGTGACCATAGCTTGATGTTACCATTTTATATCTTTCTGTATTTACATATTTACTGGAAAAAACAAAAAAAATTAAAAAATAAAAATAATAACCAATTAATGCAACTAACTCAGATTTATGTCTTGTCTGGAGGAAGATTATGAGGGGATTTTTATTACTTTTCCAACCGTTGCAATGTGTGTTGAGGAAGCAACATCAATTTCAAAATCAATCCAGCCGCCGCAATTGTTGAACAAATTGAAGTTCAAATATATTTTAATATTTGAATTATCGAAATTGCCCTTCAGTACATCTTAAAATTTTTGGGCTAGGAGGCATTATTGGTAAGCCCTTGTTTGAGCCACATTATTTTCCATAGATAACATTTTTAAATAGTGTACTGATGAGAAATGTATGGTTAAAAAATAAAAAAAAGTTTTGAATTTACGTGTAATATTATTTTATTGAAGAATGTGTGGTTGAAATTATATCATATCACTATTTAAGAATGTATTATCTTTGAAAAAATATGGCTCAAACATGGCCTAAATCAGCCTGTAAAAGTTATGACAGCTTCCTTTTTGTCAAAAATTGTGGCGGCTTCCACAGGTCCTCAATTGCGGCTGCGTCTTTGGTTTAGCGCCCAACAGTCGGAAAATTGCTAACAATTTTGGCGAGAAGCGCTACCAGACAAGCGCTTAATAATGGTTAAACAGTATAGTACCATACTCACATTAAATACAATAGTAAGATAATTTTAACATTGGAAGTTCAATCAAATAAATTTGATCACTAAGTTTACTAGTGGTAAATTTGATGTGTATTGCACATATATCACTTTAACAGCAACGCTATAATAATAGAAATTTTTTCCCCTACATACTCATGGAAGTGCAAATGAAGAATCTGCATGGGCCAGCCAAAGTTCGTAAAAACCCATTAACTAAGGTCACCTTGAGGCATTTGTTAATCTCACAACATCAGATATTATAAAGGACATCTAAGGTTGGCCATAATTTAATCTAATCCAACTTGTAAAAGACCTGGTTTGCTATTTGTTCTACCATAGAGCTTGATTTTGTTTTCAAGCTCAAATGGACACCTATTTCTGATCTTGGTGTATAATCAAACAATGCCCAAAGATGTGAAAACCAGTTTTTTATTTATTTATTTATTTTATATTTTCCCACCTACATATGGCATGTTGATCTCTCAACAGATATAAAAAGTACGCACTTGGCGATAGATAGTGACCACGCCGTTTAATCCAAATTAGCCTTACTACATATATAAAGGTATTATTATATGTTGTACTATAATGCAACTTATCATTATTATTGACATTAAAAGTGGGTAATCACAATAAATTATTTTCACCAGCAAATACAACATAAATGCACTTGAAAGTTTCAAGAATTAAACATAACTACAAAACTTCATCTGCTATAATAGTGAGCGTAATACGGATCCCCCAGACCTATTATGACATCTAACCTAGTTGTTAAGAAATGTACAAAGAAAAGCTAAGACAGAACTTGGAGATACTTACCACCATCAATGTCAACTCCAAGAATGCTCTGGCAGCAGAACTTTTTTGCTGCAGAAAAGAAGAATAAAATGAACTTCAACCTTCAACGTGACAATAGCAAAGGCCACTATATTCCAAATTCCCCATATGCAAAGGCGAAGTGTCTCAAATCTTATGCATGTACATGAAATAGTGAGTGGTAAAAAATTTATCAATATCCAAAAATTGACATTCAAAATAGAAATTATAATTGAACTATTGATTACCTATTGCGATTGTGATCAACCCACTATTGCAGCCAATGTCAAGGCATTTTTTACCTTCAAACCATTCCCTATTCAACATCTTTATTCTAGGATCTTCCTCCAAGTCCTGACCTACCTGACAACACCATAATTACAACATACAGATTAAAAATAATTCAAACTGTACAAATCAGTCGACACAGACCATTTAGTATTTGCAGAAGACGAAATTGATCATTCAAAATGTTGTGGAAGTTTCATAATTTCCATTGACAAGTTTAAATCTGCAGGACTTATGAAACTACTACTCAGATGTATGATTCTATTTCAATAGATGTATGATTCTATTTCAAATATGTATTTATTTACCCCAAAAAAAGCTAAAACAACAAAAGCAATGCAAGGATGTGACAACTTTGATTCGAATAATTTAAAAAATGAAATATTTTCATATATATATATAAACTAATTTTTCTAGCTCTCTAGTCCAACAACAATTGGGATGGGAGCTACTTTCACACTTTCCTATTGATTGCATCAACCATTACATTGAAAAACCCATAAAGAAAACCTGCAGTTGATTGAAATATGAAAACATAATTTTTGGCCACCATCACAACAAAACCAGATAGCAAGCAATTTCAAAGCCAGTTTAAAATTATCCAATTGAAAGATCTCTCTTTAGGAGTTGATCACACATTTGTGCTCATACTGAGAGATTCATGAAAGAAAGCAATTAATCAAAGGTGTTTGGCTTTGTCCTATTATTCTCCATCTAAGCCAATCTCATCTAGAGAAGCTTTTTCATAACAGTCAAGTGCCAGGTAACTGCAATACAGAGTTCTTTTGCATTTTTGGATTACCTTGATTTTAATATGCAATGGTTCCCTATGAAGAATTGATTTAATATTCTTTATATATACCAATGTTTTGTGTGAAGGACTGGTCATCCTACCGAGGTGGAAACGTTGTCCCTTCAACTTCTACAGGCCAATCACCCTTGAAGACATGACCAGAAACAAGGAATCAGATGAATTGTTTTTCATTATAAATCAAATTCCAGAATTCATTCAATATTGTGCAATACTAAGATTTATATTTTGAATAATTTTAACAATTTTGAGATTTCTCACTTAGGCTATTTCTTATTTGGTTCTCTATTCTAAAGCTTATAAACACAAGGCAGAAACTTAGGTTGATTTTTGGTGCTAATACCTGAAACTGTGGCATATCATTCTTAGACTTATGCAATTTTCATAGGAAATGACCTCTTGACAATCAGTTAAAAGATTTAAAAAAAAGCACCAGTTTTAGATGTGAGAAAATCACACACAAAAAAATTACGAGCAAGCCAAGTCTTAGTAATTTCCTCTAAAATATACTCCCCAAACGTCCAACAAACTGATTCATCTAATGATTGTGCTAAAATATTTAAAAGAATTCATCTATACAATCAAAGTAAATTGCTGAAAAATGAATGAGAGAAGAGGGGTACTCTATTTCCATAAACTATACAACCGGAAGGGCCAAATAACTAATTCAAGTAACATTTTAGAATATTTACTCCAACCCAGTTCAATTGCTGAAAAAATAAACGAAATACGACAAGAACAAACCAGAAGAGTGCTGCTCAATATCAATAAAACATACACCTTGAAGGTCCAACAAATTGTCACGTTAAACTACTCATTACGAATACAAATATATACACCTAAATAAAAATATAGAATGCATTCATTAAATCAAATTGAATTGCAGAAAAATAAATTAAACATGACTAGAATAGACGAAAAGAGGGATACTCTGTATCCATAGTAATTTCTGTAGTTTCCAAAAATCGCAACTTCTTTGCGATTCCGTTTCTTAGAGGATTGTTTGGTCGTACATGGATTTTCCCTTGTCTTCTTCTCCTTATTTTTGTTTTCTTCAACCATTTTTCAATGGGATCGATTTATGGTTTTGGGTGGTGGAAACTGGAAAAAAAAATTTAACGAGCACGGCTTGACAACTTTTATAGGATCTGGATTGACTGACCAGCTGCTTTGCTTCGGTTCTAGCGGAAAACCTAAATTCGTTTTCAGGAAAACAAAATAAAATTTGAATAATGCTAAACGATACTTTAATTTATATTTTGTCACGTGATATTATTCTATAGAGTAGTTTAAATTTCAAATAATTTTTTTATTCAATTGACACTTAATAACAATGCAGATATTAATCGTGTCAAAAATTAGTGTACAAATAGCAAATTTTCTGTTTTAATATAGCGAAGCTCATAAAAATAAAAAATTTGAGTAAGTTTCATTTTTTGTCCCCAATCTCTGCACAATATAACAACTTCACACTCAACATTTTTCCAATACAATCTATCTTCAACCGTAAGGAACTCCAATCCTCAACCACCAAGGCTTTATATAAGCTCAATAACCAAAACCAAATCAATACCAAAACTCAAACGAGCCAAGAACACAACAAAGATTCTACCTACGGTTGCTAGATCTTATGTCACTTAGAGACCACCACAAAGGAGGAATAATATCACCAAGATAATCACCACAAAGGAAACGAGCAGAAGGCAGAAAAGTTTAGCCAAGAAGAGAACACTCAGAGAAGAAGAGAAAACACAAAGTCTTGTGAGGCGTGTAACCCCAAGTGAATATATGGTGGACCAAATGCCCAACAAGGTAAGGTAATTAGGTCTAGATAATGGGTCATGGCCCAATAGCAATTAAGTGTAGCATAGAATGGGTCTCAAGTGTTGCTAGCCATCCAAGTAGGTAAAAAATTGGTCCACGAGCAAAACAACCTAATTGGTTGCTTTAAATGGTCCAATCACTTATTGGGTTGGATCGTTCCAACTTTTGGTACTAATATATCATTCAGTCATATTGTAAATACCGACTGATAATTAATAACTGGTTTACATTATCGCTCGAAAGGTCGTTTGACAATAATATGTCCAACAATCTCCACCTTGGTGTCAAAAGACTTGCAAAGAAAGAAAAAAAAAAATCCTGTTAGTGACACCTCAAACAGAAAATCAATAAAATTGGAAATCATTTACTTGTTCCAATGTTTAGAAGGTCCTTGCAACTTCTAAACTTTACCAGTGGTAGCACCTTCGTGCCTATAACTAAAGGGTTGTATTGTGTGTGAATCTTTTCGAGTCTTACCACCTCTTGAGATACTATATATCTAAGAAACTATAGTCTAACATAAATGTGTTTAGTACGTTCGTGAAAAACAAGGTTCTTGCATAAATGTATAGACGATCGACAATCGGAATACACTACCACATAATCATTCAAGAAACATAGTTCATGAAATAAACCTCTAAACCATAGAGCCTCTTTGATTGCTTCAGTGGTAGTAATATATTCTGACACTGTAGTGGATAGTGCAACAATATGTTTTAATTGTGATTTTCAACTAACACAAGAATTAGATAAGGTAAACATGTAAGAGGAAGTCGATTTCCTACCATCCCCATCTCCCGCATAAACAACATCTACAAAACCCTTCATTTTTATACCTTTCTTATTGGCACTAAACTTTAGACCTACGTCACAATACCATTCAAGTACCTTAATAGTCACTTTAACGTTTCCAATGTCCAGGACCCGGATTAGATATATACCTACTGAGAGTACTAACAGCAAAACCTAAATCTGGTCTAGTGCAAACCATCAAATACATTATGGAACCAATCACATTGGAATACGAGATTCTAATCATGTATTCTACTTCACGTTCATTGCAAGAAGCTTATTCTTTAGATAAAACAAAGTGATTAGCAAGAGGCAACGTGAAAAATTTGCAATCACTCATTTTAAATTTCTTCAACACCTTATATATATGTGTGTGTGAATGTGTGGGGACTGATGCAAAAACATGGCAGAATTGGACCTTTCTCTTTCTATTTCTATGCCTAGAATTCTCTTAGTGTTACCTAGGTCTTTCATGTCAAATTCACCACTTAACATTACTTTTATATTGTTTATCCACTTAGGTGATGAACCAATCAAAAGCATGTCATTCACATAGAGCAACAAAAACAAATAATTGTTATAAGTCTCGTTGTGTTGAAAGTACAAACAGTGGTTAAATTTACTTCTTTGGAACCATATAGTGAGTACAAAGGAATCGAATCTCTTGTACCACTGTCTAGGTGACTGTTTCAATCTGTACATGGATCTTTTTAGAAAACACACATAATCATGTTTAGACTTGTCCTTAAAACCTTTCGGTTGATTCATAAAGATTTGTTCGTCAAACTCACCGTGTAAAAAAGTAGTTTTGACATCAAGTTGTTCAAATTCCCAATCAAAATACACAACCAATGCAAGCATGACCCTAATAGTAGTGTATTTAACAACTGGTGAGAAAATCTCATTATAATCAACGCCCTTCTTCTGTGTGTAACACTTAGCCACTAACCTAGCATTAAACCTTAAGGGTTTCAAACTACTAGTACCTTTTTTAACCTTAAAGACCTATTTGCAATCGACGATCGATTTATTCTTAGGTCTAGGTACAAGTTCCCAAGTTCGATTCTTCCCTAAAGAACTCATCTTTTCTTTCATGGCCTTAAGCCACTCCTTAGATTGATCACCACCCATCGCCTCTTCAAAGGTTTTTGGCTCTCTATCTACTAGTTTCTTCGTAACTAGCATGGGCAAAAGCTAACTCAGATTCATATCCAAATCTCTTAGGTTCTCTTATTTGTCTCATCTCTCTATTCATAACTAAGTTGTAGTTATCTAAAGGATTTTCTTCCTCAGGATGCTCTTCTATCAATACTTCGTTTCTATTCTCCACCTTAGGTTCCTGAACTTGAGTCTCCACCTCAATAGGAGTGGTGGGGGTAGATATGCTAAGCTTTTCTAACTCCACCTTAAACCGATCTCTCTCCTCACCTAGTTCAGTTTTACTCACATGTTCAGTTTCGCCTTTAAGATAAGGTATCTCACCTTCGTTAAATGTGACATCCATACTTACAATGACTTTAACCCCTTTTTAGCTTTTATCCCATAACCTATAACCCTTAACACCCCTGGGGTATCCTAGAAAAACAGATTTTCTAGCTCTAGGTTCAAGCTTTCCCTTATTCTGATGAGAGAAAGCAGCACAACCAAAAGTTCTAAACATAGAATAATCACTCAATTTACCAGACCACCTCTCATGTGGAGTATTACCTTTTAATGCAGCAGATGGAGTCAAATTAATCAAATAACAAGCAATCATAACAGCTTCACCCCAAAATGATTTAGAGACATCAGAACTTAACATCCTACAACGCACTTTATTAAGTATGGTCCAATTATTCATCCTTTTCGCTAACCCATTTTGCTGGGGGATGTAAGGAACCGTCTTATGTCTTGTTATTCCATTTTCTTTACATATAATGTCAAATTCAGTTTGATTTTTTATTTGTCTATTTCAGTTATTAAAGTTGTGAAAAGATTCAGATTTATCTTTCAATAGATAGACTCACACTTTCCTAGTATAGTCATTGATAATAGATAGAAAATACATATTCCCACCTGATGTGGGATTACTAGCAAGACCCCACAGATTAGAATGCACATATTTAAGCATGCCTTTAGCTTTATGAACACTAGTGGAGAATGATGTTTTATGATGCTTATCAAGCACACAGTGATCATAGAATGACAAATCAGATACATAGTCATTACCAAATGCACATTTTTCATTAAATAGTTTAAGTCCCTTAATGCCTATGTGTGCAAGCCTATTATGTCATGTGTGTGTTTGATCAACCTTGGTAGAAGAGATAGAGGAGTTCAAACCTCTAATCACTTCTCAATTAGTGATGTAAATATAGTTTTTCTTAGTTCTTAATAGAAACTAATGTACCCTTAGTCATTTTTAGTATACCATTTCTAATTTTACCAGTGAAGTCATCTTTTTCAAGTCTTCCTACTGAAATCAAATTTCTCGACAATTCAGAAATAAATCTAACGTCCTTTAATGAGTACACAAAGCCCGTGTGAAAATTTTATATTTATGTCACCAATTCCAGCAATCATATAGGCAAAGTTATCACACAGCACAACATGCCCAGTATTAGATTCATACAAATTATCAAACCAATTTTTTTCGGACGTCAAATGAAAAGATGCACCAAAATCAAGTATCCACTCATGCATGCAGGAATTAGCAGTTAGATTCAATTTAGCAGTGTATGCAACGAGACTTGTAATCATATAGATTTCATCGTTATCTATATCGAAAGTAGAGAATAACACATTAACCTCATCTCTCTCCTTAACCTTTAGCTTAACCTTCTCCTTGTGACAATCCATTATTAAATGCCCCGTGTTTCCACAACAATGACATTTTCTAGCCTTAGCCCTAGATTTTGATCTAGACCTACCATTACCCTTCTTCTTCATTCATTACTACTCGACTCGCCCCACTTTGGTATCCATCATGATTGTTTTGCCTAAACTGTATTCTACCTCGCATCATATGTAACTCACCGTTTCTTTTATCATATTTTTCAGCCCTAATTTCATCTCTTTACTCCTAAGAGAGTCTATGATAATTTCAGGTGTCAATGTATCCTTACCATACTTAATGATATTTTTAACTTCCTTATAAGAATCAGAAATATAATTGAACAAGATTATGGCCTTATATGTCTCGAACACAGCCTCATCACAATTAACAATATCTTGAACCAGTTTGTTAAACACATCT